GCTGCTCTGGGATGCCGTTTGTCTGTTTGCGGTTTTGATTGCCACTTGATGTGTTGTGATTATGATGTGTGTGTGTGTGCGAGTGTGTGTGTCTCGGGGTGTGTGCTCGCCCATCTGTCTCTAGTCTCCATGTCTCTCTCTCTCTCTCTCTGCCTCTGTGTGTGTTCTTCACCCACTAATGTGGTGATTTGTGTAATTTTGCTTGTCGAATGCCCTCGATTATGTTAGCCCATGTTTGACAGGCTTTTTTCCTTTCGCTTCTAGCCTCCACCCACTGTCCTCCCCGTCCTCTATTAGCTTTTCTTTTCTTTTTTACCCCTCGAAAAGGTCTCCAAAATTTATGCTCTCACCTGCTGCCGCCAAACGAACACACATAAAACTGAGCCAAAGGTAAAGGTAAAGGAAAATCATAATTTCGTGCTTTTTACTTCTTTGTTTTTAAGTCAAAGTCAAAGAAATTTAGGAGGGCTTTTCCAGGCACCCAGGCACCCAGAGGCACCAGGTGTGTTCAATGCTCTCGACAACTTTAACACTTGCTTGAGAGAAGAAAAAAAACAAAAAACACTGGAAACAATGTTGCTTAGATGGGGGTATTTTTTGGGGGCTTTTTTTAAATTTGTTAGCGAGCTTATCGGGGAAATATATATTTATACAAGTATATAAAAGGTGACAGATTCTATGAATTTTTTATTTGATTTATTATTGCTGTTTTTACTTATTTTAAACAATATTTTTAATTCCAATATCTAATATAATCTGTCAATCTAGGTTGTTTTCTATAACCTTTAAACCTGCAATGAAAGCGTTAGGTAAAAAATTTAGTAAATATTTTAAAATTTCAATAAAAACAATTTCAAGTTAATTAAATAATGAAAGCTTTATTTATAATATAAAAATAAATAAATAAAATATATTTAAAAATACATTTAAGACACCTTTTTAAGGCTTTTAAGAACACTTGAGTCTTTAGAAGCTTACATTTCAGTTTTTAATCTTAGTAAAAACTTTAATAAAAAAAAAAAAATACGTATGTATGTAACTTAAAATATACTTAAATATTATAAAAAAAAAATAAATACATTTTTTTAAAGCTAAAAACTAAAACATTATAAATAATACAAACATTTAAACTAAATTTAGTAGTTCAAAAACTACATTAAACACTTTTAGACTTGGTTTAAAAATTTTATTTAAATTTTTTTTAGGCATATTTGAAAAGAATTTAAAAACCATAAACATATCTTTTTAAAGCCAGTTGGTTTTTATGCTCTCTAAAATTCTATTTACTGCTAGTCAAGTGTACAATCAATACACCATTTCCATCAGCTTCCCTCTAATTAAAGCTCATTGCATTTATTTCCATTTTGTCACAAAATCGAAAAAGAAGAGTGATAAAATGCAGTGGGAAAATAGCAGAAAATAGGGACTTGTCCAAAGGTTAATTGTAACGAAATTAGCTTAAATAAACATGCACAAAAAAAAAAAAAATGTAGGGAAAATATAATTTAGCTGCAGTCCTGTGGCACTGCAATAAATGCTTCCAACAAAAGCAGTGCAATTGAGCAACTTTTTTATATCTATTTTCATTTTTTTTTTTTTGCTCCTTCTGCCACGTGTTTGCTATCTGTGCCACACAGCCGTCTCCCCTGTTCCCGATCCTGCTCCCGATCCTGCTCCTGCCTCTGTCTGACAGCTTGCCTGTGCATATTTGAATACCCAACATGGCTCATATTCAACTAATTAGGCGAGTTTTGCAAATACATTTTCATTATTGTAATTTTGCACAGTCGAAGGTGGCAGCAGCAGCAGGAGCAGGAGGAGCCTAGTGTGGGAGGGAGTCATGAAGAAAAAACAGAAAAAAAAAACCTGCAGTAGGCAACATGCTGGCAAAAGTTTCCCATATGTTTGAAAACAACTGGCAGGGGCTTATAAGGGGGGTGGGGATCCCCGGTTGGGGTAACAGACACCGACACATGTAGGCCGAGGCATTTGCATTTGCAAAAAAAAAAAGGAAGACAAAAAAATTCTTCTAGGTAAAATGCAAAAAGCAGGAGGATAAAAAAAAAATAGGATGGTAAAAAATGCAACAGCAAAAAAAAAAAAAAAAAAAAAGAAGAGTCGCAGCTAAATCCAACTCAAAATGGCAAAAGAGCTCACGTCACAGACAGGGACAGGACGAGCTAGCTGCAAGGTGGTGCAAAGGGTCTAGTGGTTGGGTTTTTGGGGTTTCGCGGGGCCAGACACCGGTGGTTTTTTCACACTGAAATCGGGCCAGACGGGTGGAGCAAGAAAGAGATAGATGCTAGTTACGGTGAAACTGGAGAAAGAGACAGTGAGAGAGAGAGTCGAGAAGGAAGAGTTCAAATTAAATGTGCACACACGCAAGTTGATTAGCAAGATATAATTAAAAAATGTAGTTCCTCTAATTGTTTTCCGGCAGGACCAACTTTAGTGTGCCCAGCCTGAATGCAGGAAATGTGTAAGTGTGGCCAAGGTAACTGATTTTGAATGAAATATGAGATAAATAGAGTTTCTTGAAGTTTATTTTTAAATAAAAATATTAAAACTTGTATATTATTGTAATTTTTAGTAATAAAATATTTAAAAGTTCATTTAAAAACTAAATTTATAGGAAAAGCGCAGAGTGGCCAAGCATAGTGTAGATTATGATCTAGTTTTACCATGGTAGGTAGTATGTCCAGCTAATTGCCATCAACCATCGTTCTGTGTGATATCTAATCTGCTTGGAAAATCCTGAAAATTCTGCAGTTGTCCGTCCTTCATTCTGTGTCTTGGTCCTTCGCGCTTTTGCCTCTCTCTCTGTATCTCTCGGCCTCAGAGTTGCCTAAGCCCAAAACCATTAACACTTGTTTCTGTCATTTTACATGAAAAGCGGAAGCGCTTTTGTTTCTGTGAAACAAACAAGTTTCCTTGCCACTCGCAACTCGCAACTGCCCCAAAGCCTAGTCAGATTTTCCCGCTTTTTCTGGCTTTTCTCTGTTTTTTTTTTTGACATGGGTATCCGTATCCTAGATCCATTCCTCTCTGGATTCTGGTGTTTGCTTAGGCTGCAGGCTGCAAGGGGGAAAAAGCGAGTCAAAGCTACTGAAACCTAGCATCTAGAATCTATTTTTTATAAAGAGAAATTTAAATATTCTTAAGTAAAAAAGAAAGTTGAGAAATTTAACCTTTAAAAGTAAATATTTTAATATATAATTTATATTCAATTTTTAATTTAATATTTATAGTACTATTTAATGCTTAAAAATCTATTACAACAAGTTTGCTTAACTAGTCAAGAAATTAAGCAACTTGTTTTATAGTTTTTTTTAATAATAAAAAGAGAAAATATTCCACAGAAATGTCAAAAAGTTAAGAAATTTAAATATTTTCTTTCATTTCATTAGGCCTTAGGACCCGAGAGGGAGGCACCAGGCTGTTAAATACTTATGTGTACATTACACGACTGTCCCTTCTTTGGACGAAGGAAAAGAGTTCTCTGGACTGGGCTTGGTCATGTCAGTTAACTGGATGAGGGTCCTGCCTCCAGCCCCCCACTCTGGCACAAAACTTTTTGCACTGCCTGTCAACGTCAAGCCATGGCTGACTGGCCTTCATGGCGGTGACTGTACCGCTCGCCCTCAGCCATAAAGGTGTTTTTGAGAAAAACTTCTTGAGTAGGTGCTCGCCAGCTGATGGTCCTGTGATGATGGATGGGTCTCAAGGCATTTTGGCATTTTCTAGGATTTTTCACACTTACGGCTACTTTGTTTAGATTATATGCATGATTTTTAGACTCAACTGGGTTTTAATAATATGAATTGTTTTAAAGTTACCCAGCCTGTCAGGATATAAATGATTATTTTCTGTGAAGAGAAAGCTAAGGGGTTTTTTTAATATATTTTTATTATTATTTATACTTTTATTAAATGATTTTATTAACTAAAATATTTTTTATATATTTTTCTAAGAGTTCATTTCTTGAAGTGCGATTTCTTTTGGCCAAAAAGCAACCTTCAGCTTAGTTAAAGGGAATTTCTGTGGGTCAGCTCTTCAGCTGGACAACCGGGGGCGTCTATGGGATATATATACTATGTGGGGATATGGCCTGGATGCCAATGCTGATACCTGCCACAGTGCGCTGTGCTATGTGGATGTGGATAAAGATGAGCTTGGGAATGAGGATGAGGATGAGGTTGAGGATGCCGATGATGATGATGATGACTGAGCTTGCATAAACGAGTTTGCCCTTAAGTGTGTGCGCATGTTGAAGGAGCTGGAGCTGGAGATGGAGGTGGATATGTAGTGGGAATCTGAAGATATTCGGTGGGTGGTGGAGCAAGGAGCAAGGAGTTTTGTGCGTGAGCAGCATATTCGATGGGCCACCCATACACGCAACTTATTTATGCAGACTCACATACAAAGCATGCAAAAGATTTTTGCATTAAACCGCCAGGAAGCAGTTCCACCCACTCCTTAACCCACCGATAGCCCCGATTCGATGGGCTCTTTGCCAGCTACAAAAGTAGCATCTGCCCCGGGAGGTCCGCATACAATTAGCTGCAACTGTAATTAAAGCAATTGTATAATAAATCTTTTGCCAAATGGGAAAAGATCTCAGGTGAAGGGAAGCTTGGGCTTGGGGGAGGCGGCCAAAGGAGCGCGTGCCAAGTGAAATGCTGGCCAAGGAAAAATTGCCTGGGAATTAATATAAATTTAATAGTTTTTGGCTCCTGGCATTTATGGTGGGGCATAAAAACGTTCGGTGGCTCGTTAAATGCATTTAAATGGATTAATTTATACGGGAATAGAGGGATTCCCTGGGGATATTTGTAGAGTTTTTTTTTAATTTAAAAGAAAGGAATATTTAAGAATATTTAAACTAAATTTTAACGGCTTTTTAAAGGCTCAAATAAACATTTAAAAAGTATATTTTTAATATAATTATAAAAAATATTTAAACTGCCAAGCAGTTTAACTCGTAAAATCATAGACTACACTCTTGGCAGTCTGTGAAAATATCATCAAAATTTCAAAACACTCAAGAATTTGTTCTCCCTTTTAAGAACCTCAACTAAAGCTGTCAAAAATGTCCAAGAAATTGCGTCTGAAGGAGGATGAACCACCTTCAGAACCAAAAGTCCAGCGACGTCGTCGTCCCGCCGCTGAAATTGTTCGGGAACTCAGGCGACTCAGATCCACGCCCCTGAGGATCGAAGATGATAATGAGTCCTGGACGGGTAACCAGGAGAAGGTGCCACCGCCGGATTTGCCTGTCACTAGCCTGGAGCAGCTAGAGCAGATACGTTTGACCCGACACAGGATTACCATGTTGATAGTTCGTCCTTTCTTTGAACAGGCAGTAACAGGATGTTTTGTGAGGGTAAAACCAACAATAATTCCGTTTAATTATAAAGAAAAGTTTAAGGATTTTTTACAACAGGTTAATATTAACAGCGCTTTGGAGCAGCCAGAGCATCGCATTGCCGAAATCCTGGGCCTCCTAGAGCTAGACTATGGCTACAAGCTGGACGAGATACCCACAAATGTGGCTTTAAGTCTGCGCTACGATGATCTAGTGGTGCCCCACGAGATCAACGATGTCTCCAATATGGCCTTTACCCGGAATGAGTTTGAGTTGTGGCGTGATAATCTTGTCCATCAGGCTATTCAGCCGCCGACTAGCTCATTGGTCACCAGAAAGAAAATCGAGTTGTATAATGCTTTACAGGCCGAGGCCAAGGGTCTGGCCCTCGTCCGGCAGAGCTTTCGCTTGACCATACGACCGCCTGAGAAGGGGGGAATCCTTGAAAGGCATGGCGGTGTCTATCCCTGGCAACTGAAGCAGCCTTCAAAGAAGTCTTCCTTACCTTTTAAGGGGTTTATTGGAGAGGCCAATCCGGTTCTGGCGGGAATGCCAGATGTGAAAGGGACAAAGAAGTCGTAAAGTCTAGGAATACTAGATGTTCTTGATGGTTTTCTTTACTAAATTTATGTTTATTTTATTAATGAATGTGGAATTTTCCACCATAAACATTTGCCTTTTCTAATCCCTTGACTTGTGTCATAAAAACCTTGACTTCAAGCGGCCAATTCAATCAAAGTGACATTGTATGGCAAATGGGGGAAATACTACGTAAAATGCTTGGCAATTAGCAAGGAATTTTGGAAATGGGGGAAAACCCCCACAGTTCTGCTGACTTTTCTGCTGCAGAATTTTTGCAGCACCTTGGGTGGGGTGTCACCTGACCTCCCCGGCATTCCACAAAATTTTCGGAGCCAACTTTGTGTCCGCTAATGAACAACAACAAACTTGGTAGCCAGGAGTAGAAGTGGCAAGCAACAAAATATCGTCAATAGGGCACAAAAAGAAATTACAGAAATTAAATGAAATGCAATTAACCAGCTAAATGAGCGAAGTCCTTTGCTGGAAATCAAATGGGGGGAGTTTTTACGAGGCATCCGAGGGGGGTGTTCCGGGACAACAATTAGCAACTGATGAGCAATTAGAAAATGTAAAAATTACCAACAGAAAAAAAGGAAAGAAAAGCTGAGGAATCAGAGTAATGGAAAGGCAGCTGGGCAATTAATTAATATTTAATTGATAGCTTGTGCTCGGGAAAAATACAACAAAATCTTTATTATAATTACCCAAAAAAAATAAGTCTTATTTTGTGTAATTTTTGTTATTTTTTTGGTTTTTTTTTTTAGCATAATTAACGTTTGTCCAGCAAATGTTTTTCTCGTGTTTATTCGTTTTTATTATTATATTTTCTCTGTTTGTTTTCTTTATGATTATTCCGGCTGCTTTATTTTACATACACAAAAATGTCACTTAATAAATTTTACGACTGTTTTATGTTGTCGCTTTGGCCCTAAAAAAAAAGCGCTGGAGAAATAGAAGGTGTGTTTTTCCGTTTTTTTTTTCTGGGACGACGACCCATAACACGCCCACTACAACACGTAGTATCCATAAATATAAAAAAAGGGAAAGGAAAAAAGGGGGCTAGGGTCCACGCCCACACATGTCAGGATGCTTAACCCTTGTTTGCATGTGAACATTTTTATTCTATTCTATTTCCTCCCCCTCCTTTCGTCACGCACACGTCCTGGCTATAGGCCTAGGTCCTGGCTGTCCTACTCCTGTTGATTCCCCATGATTTGGCTAAATTAATTTTTGGCCCATTCAGATGTTACAAGGGCTTGGGCATAATTAAAAGTACAGTGTAGGAAAAAAGAAAGTAAGAGGCGGCCCCCCAAAAAACATCATGAGTTATGAGGGGAAGGCAGAAGAAGTCTCGTAAATTTGCCAGGAGGAAAATGAGGGGGGAAATAGCTGTAACCCTTTTCCTATTTTAGTCACCCTTCTCCTCCTTCGCCTTCTCTTCTTTCAACCCGGAAAACTTTTGAACATTTTAATTTGCCTTGGCAATTTTTCGCTTTTTTTTTTTTTTTTTTTTTTGCTCCTGGTTTTTGGCTCAAAGTGAAAGTCATTTTCATTGTTTAGAGGCGGCACATGTTTGGTATAAAAAGCCCCTCCTGGTGTCCCCTTGGCCTTTGACTTGACTTTTCCTTTTTTTACATATATATATATATATTTTTTTTTTTATTTTTGTTAGAAATTCGTCCTTCGGTTTTGGCTGTTGATGTTAGGACTTTTGGTTGGATTAAATGCGCACTTCCACCTGGTGACATATCTCCTGGTGGTGTTACGCCTTCTGCTGCTACGGCTCCTGTTCCTACAGCTTGTTTCTCTTTCAAAAAATAGATGCACTGAGAAAAATGTGACCAGAAAAAGTCCTAGAGGTATCTTTTATTTTTTGTTAATTTTTTTGAGAAACCTAGAATAACTTGATATGTTTTTATTGAATAATTTATAGACTGCTTATAGCATTTAATTAAGTTTTTAAATCCTAAATTTCAGCTCTTTTCTTTTGAGTGCATAATAAAATAGCTTGAGCTTGGTTCGCCAAGATGGTCGGCAATCAGCGAGCATCAGAATTCAACGTTGAACTTTTGTCCAAGAAGCCAAAGGAGATGGCCTCCAGGGGCGGCGCAAAGGGGGAGCGCAGCTTGTCATGGCATCAGTCAAAACTTTGCCAGCAACTGAATTATGTCATTTGCTTGATACACACATACACACACACACATACACATGGGAAAATGGGTGCCAGGGGTGTGGGTTACAAGGGGGTAAATAGCAGCGGCACATGTATGGCATGAAAAATAGGAAAAACCAAACTGAACCCAAACGGGGCCAGGTACCAAAAGGAAAATAAAGCTGAGGAAACGAAATTGGAAAAAAGACGATGAAAATGCCAGCAGTAGCAATCAAGCACAGTGCACTGAAAAAAAAACCAAAGGGTTATCAGGAATATTGAAAATTAAAAATTAGAGAATTCAAATTTAAACAAAAAAGAAAGATATACAATAATAAAAATAATAATAAATAAAATAATACAAATAAATAAAAAGTTAAAACTTTGGCATTACACTAAAATTCCCAACTGGTTTTGGTTTCAGTTTAAATTTTCGCCTTCAATAAAAAAGGGAATATTAGAAATATAAAAATCACAAAATTCAAATTCAAATAAATTAATACAGATTACATTTTTCAAATAAAAAATTTACTTATGTAAATATACATAAACTTTCCCTAACTATTTGTCCCACTGTGCCGGTGACATGGCCGCCATTACATAGCCGCATATTTTGCGTTTTCACATTTTCCGCTTTTCATTTCGCCATCGTCCTGTGGCACTGCCTTGAATATTTTTCTTCAATTTTATTAAAATTATGGAAATGAATGAAATATCTGCTGCATCCCGGCCTCAATACCCCCCTCCCACTCTCTCGTCCAGCATTTCGCATCTTTTGAGAAAAGGAATTTATCGAAAATTGCAGCAGCTGCAAAATTGTCTTCCACTACTTTCGCCGTATTCCCAACCGCTTTTCTTGCTTTCCCGGCTTTCCCTGCCTTTCCTGAGCACACACCTGGCCAGTGGCAAGTTTAATAATCCGTTTCGCATTTTGCGTTGATGCGAAATCAATCGATGTGCATCGAATATGCCCGGAAGGAGCAGCAGCAGCAGCAGCAGCAGCAGCAAGGAGCGCCAGGTGAGGTCCTGCAGGGACAGCGGAGAACGTCCTGGGTAGAGTGTATCAACTGGGATGCATAAATCCAACTCATTTGCATGGCCAAGGAATCGAGGAATCAAGGAAGCAGCGCCAGGATGCGTACCCGCTGGCAATGCCATCCAATTTGAAGGAGTCACCTGAAGGGGCAACGGGAGGTTTTACTGCCCAAATGCACTGGGAGAATTGATTATCATTATTTAAATTAAAAAAAATATATTTATTTAAATGTTATTTTCCATGACTCCCCATTTGTGATTCCTGATTTCAAGTTAACAAATCGCTTTTGCCAGCCACACGAAGCCCCTCTTCCCCTCCAGAACTGTGGCCCAAAATCTTAGCCCACTTTCAAGTAACTTTTTCGCTTTTCTCTCTGCCCTGAGGGCTTCGCTCATTTAGCTGGTTAATTGCATTTCATTTAATTTCTGTAATTTCCTTTGCCTTATTGACGATATTCTCGTTGCCCGCGTCCTTTCTGGGGAAAACCCTTAAGTTTGTTGTTCATTAGCGTGTCCAAATCGGTGGACTTTGGCCATCAGGTGGTGCCACCTCAGGGACAGAGGTGTTGGAAAAAATTTCTGCTGAAGAAATCCTCTGCCATTGCCATTTCCATTTCCGTTTCCGTTTCCTGTCCTGTCCCTACCCTCGATGCTAATTGCCTGGATTTTAGGTTGCACAAAAAAAAGAGATGGAAAATAGAAGAAAAAGAAAAGAAAACACATCCCTCGTTGCGTTGACAATTTGATTTCTGGCAATATTTTTCGCATTTTCGCACTCTTCTTTTTGAGGTCCTGGCAATGGGGCAATCAATCACACAAGTTCTATGTCTATCGCATATGTTACGGCCAATCTATTTCGTCCAGCACAGGACAATGTGTGGGGGATTTATTGTTTTTAGGGAAGCCAGAAAATATTGTAATTTAAATTTTTATTGCTTTTTAAGATTTTTTGTACTTAAAATTAAATACATTAAAATAATATATATGTTAGAGTCATTTATTTTTAATCAATTTTGCTTGTTAAAAATTCGAAATAATTATTTTGAAGCTTTGTTTTAACTTTTAACTTTAAAAGTTTAACGTCTAAAATATATTATATATATATTTAATTATTCATTTATATTAGAAATATTTTAAATATATTTTTAAAAGGTTTATTGGTTTCTAAAATATTTGAAATATTTCCTTCAAAGTTTTATTGATTTTAAAAATATGTTAAATATTTTGTTTATTAAGTTTTATTTATTTTAAAAAAATGTAAAATATTTCCTTAACATTTTTGTTGATTTAAAAACAACGTAAAATATTTTCTTCACAGTTTTATTGATTTTAAAAATATGTTAAATATTTTCCTCACATTTTTTTTATTTTAAAAATATGTCAATAATATTTTCTTCAAATTTTTTTTATTTTAAAAACATGTTAAATAATTTCTTCACAGTTTTATTGATTTTAAAAATATGTTAAATATTTCCTTTACAGTTTTATTAATTTTTAAAATATTTAAAATATTTTTTTTGCAATTTAAACCCCACACTTTTGCAGATTTTTCCATCGACAATTTTGTGAAATTTTTTTATTATATTATATTTTTTTTTTAGCACCCACAGCCTGTGGATTATGGATGACAATTAGTATCTCTGCTGGTTGGTTGGCTGCTGCCACTGATGATGATGATGATGATGGCTCGGCCATGTCCTGTTCCAGGACCAGTTGCAACTGACAGCTTAGAAAAATCACCGCAGGAGCCTGCTGCTGTCCAGGCTCTTCAAGTGTTATCCTGCGGAACTTTGATGAAGTATTTGTTGGCTAGACAAATGTGACATATCCTGGCCTCAAACTGCACTGCCACAAATATATCTATGTAAATATATTAATAGAAATTCCCTTGATAAATAATTCTATATCTTAATATTTTCTCCCAGTGTCCTGGCCAGCTGTAGGTGAACAACAACAGCCTGTCATTAGTCATATTCAAGCGGCGTTGAAGGGAATTATGTGTAGGCAGCTTCTCCTCCACTGAAATTAATCTTATTTAATTTGAATTTTTTTATTAAAATAATGAAAACGCGTCCCCAGGAAAGTTTTGTTCTTAACAAATTTGTGGGACCTTCTTTATTATTATTATTATTATTATTATTATTATTTTTAAATGGCCGCGGACAGTCCAGGGGATGGCACGTGCTGCCGCTGCTCGTGGAACACTTTCCAATTTGTTGAAAACAATTTTGTGACCCCCGAGAACTGCAAACAAACTCAACAATGAGAGCAAACAAAGTTCCTGGGCGGGAAAAGCGAGCGCGTGGGTTATGGCCAGGAAAAAGGGGGCTTCGGGATCATATGCCACCTGCTGCAGGGGGTGGTGTGAGGGAGGTTACTGTGGAAAATGCTGTGCGAAAATCAGAGGCGCGAGGGGCAGTAGTCGTCGTGTGTCATTCTGCGGCAGCGCGCGGCACGGAAATGATTTATGAGTGAGCTGGGGCCTGGGCATGGGCCCAAGGCCAGGGGGACTGGCGACCCCAGAGCAGCTTTAAATAAATGACAGGGTCAAGGGGATGCAGGTCCGCAGGTCCACCGCCTCTCATCACATTGCTTAAATGTTTTAAAGTAGTTTTGGCTTTCAAAAATAAAATTAAGTAAGTGAATGATTCAGAAATAATATGATTTAAAATTTAAGAAAATTATTTAAATAAAGGGATTAATATACATTTTTAAAATAAATTATATTCAAGGAAAATATTTAGGAAAATATTGAGAAAAATACTTAGAGAAGCCAAAGAAAGCCAAGAATTCCATTTTTTAACCTTAAAAAAATTCTTAAATATTTTCAAATCAAATTTATACATATTCTCCTTACATATTCATATGTATTTCACCCACAACTTTTGGTGATAAAGCTTTATAACCTGGCTTATAAATGAATACCTTTATTAGGCATTCCACAATCTTTAGGTTTGAGTTATCTTTTAGCCAGAGAAAAGCCTCCCCCCGTCATTGTCTCCTTTGGGGAAAAGCGTTTTTAATTTAATTTTTTTTCTCTTTTCTTTTGCCTTGGTCCGAAGATTCATTGTCCTGTGGCCCCTCTATTATAATTTTTTTTTTGGGTATCCTGGCGCCTTGAGCCGACTTTTTAATTGCATTAACACGCTAATGTAAGTCGCATAATGCCGCCTTCTTTCATCAGAATGTTGCTTATTACATATTTATGTTTCTATATTCCCCACAATTTCTACTCTCGAAGAACGTTGAATAAATTTTAATTGTCTTCGGGTGTCTTGTTGTTTTTATTTTCTTTACGCCTCCAGGCGGGGCATTAAAAAATATTGCCCTGGAACATATGGACAGCGTTGTCTCAGTTTTTTCAGGGGGGGAAATAGTAAAAGCAGAGTAAAATTAGCAGGACGCTAAAAGGGACAACAGCGAGAATTTCTTACCTGTTGGCCCATAAAATAAATTCCATTATACGAGCTTTTGTTGCTGCCATTCCAGGGAATTTCGGTGGCAGGGGAACGGTAATAATAATAAAAGCCCAAAATGACAACCAGAACAAGGGGGACAGGACAGGGTGGACTATATAAGACGGAATAACAGCCAGATGATGGGGAGAAACGGAAAAATATATAATAAACATGAATATTCGCTGGGTTGGAGAGTTTTTGATGGGTAAACTTTGGTATATATTTGGAAATTTGTAGGAATAGCCAACAATTCTCTATAGCCAGTGGATTTAAGATGAAATAAAAGATAGGAGAAACTTTATAAATATATTTGTTGATGGTAGGAATATATAAAATAGAAACTAGCAAGCCTAAAAATATTTTTAAAATAGATTTCTTCTTCAGAATTTGAAGTGAAAATTATTTATTTATTTAAAACATTTACATAGCTTTGATATATTAATTAACAAAAATAAAAAGAAAATATAATTACAAACAAAAAACATTTTTTTTTTAATTTATGTATACCACTTTTGTCTGAAATATTAATATTACTGAAAAAAAATATCCTAAAAATGTTTTTAAAAATTATATGTATTTATAAATATATTATATATTTTCTAAAATAAAAATATCGGTTAATAGTTATATACTTTTCAAAAATTTTAAATTTAAAATGGTCAAAAATTTACAACAATTTTATTTTCTTTAAAAGTTGTTAAATTTAATATGCAGATTTTTTAATCTAGAATAAACTAGCATAAAAAGGTTTTATTTAAGGGAAATCGGCCTTCCAAATTTAGTTTATTTTATTCTTTTAATATTTAATTAGACCCAAGGCCTAAAGAGACATTTAACTCTAACAACAAAAATGTTCCTTAATTTCAATCTCAAACCCAATCAAAAAATTGTTGGTGAACAAAAACCACAAAAAAGCAAAGGTAGAAGGTCAAAGGGCAAAGCCAATAACCAAGTAAACAAACACATAAAACGTCTAGCTCACAGACACATGCGGGAAAAGTCGCGAAGACAAACAAAAAAAAGTTACATTTTTCTCATTTTGTGTAAATTTAATTTTATCTGCGTCCAGGGCAAAACAACTGCCACATCCTCTCACCCACGGTTCTCACTTCGATTCTCCTTACGATGCTAAGATTTTGGCCAGGACTCGAGGCAATCATAAAGCGTCTCTAGTCAACTTTTGGTTTCTTGCAAAGGAATCTGCAATGGGGTTCATGCCTCCAAGCCCACCACCTCCTCCTTCACCCCATAAAATGAGGACAAAGGTAAAAGGTCAGAGCCAAAAGCAATTAGTCTGCTAGGCAGGTGTGTTTTTTTGCAAAATAGAAAGAGATCTTTATTTCAAATAATATTTTATTAAAGTGTGTATTGATTTTAATTGTCATTACAATTCAAATGTGGCCAGTGTTGTGTCTTAAATTCCCTTGCTATGTGGCTGAGGCATGTACTTCTCTCAAGGGAATTCAAGTCTCGGGTTAAGGCTCGAGGTTTTAGTGTTTAAAAAGTAATTACAATGTGTAACATTATGTGCAGAATTAGTATGAATAAAGAAACCTTAATCATCCTCAATATCAGAGTCTGGGTAGATAAAAAGGTAGACTCCGTAGTCAGCCTCATCTTCTTCATCATCATAAGACTCATCATCATCATCGGATTCATCATCATCCGACACATCATGCGACTGATTATCGAACTGATCAGCCCATTCATCATCCGATACATCATCCTGATCTTGATCACTGGTTGGAGGAGGAGCCTTGGAGGAGGACTCATCTTCAGTTTTATCCTCTGCATCACTTGTATTTGAAGGACTAGACTCTTTGGCCTCATCTACACAGGTGAGTGTTTTAGCTGTTTTTAGCAGGTATTTGGGTAAGTACTTGCCTGATTTTTTCTCATCGGTGGAATTATTTTTGACCATATCACCGCGGTCAGGAGCATGGCGCTTGTTCTGCATTGAGTCGTCCGAGTGGCTGTAAAAAAATATGGCAGAAACCGAAGCTGTGTGAATGTCACTTTCACTACCACGTTTACCGAGACACCCAACGAAAGCGGCGAGGAAAACTCGTGAAAAGTCGCACTTATAAAGCCGGTTGAAGACGGCGCTACATATACAAATCTACGAAAGCTGCTTAAAGAATCGAAATGCTCACCTCCGAGTCAAGGGTGCCATTTGCTGGCCTTCTGGCTCTGGGGTTTCAGAGGTATCGGAGACCTTCTCGTCGGATGAAGGTAGTAGTTCCTCAATTCCCTCCTCGTTGGTATTCTCAGCTGTTTTTTTTTTCGATTGATCTTTTTTATTATTCTTTCTTATTATTTTTCTAGATTTTTTTTAAGATTCTTACTTTCCTCACTTGAATAAAGCCAAGTGACAAATGTGACACTTATTTTGATAACTTTTAGGGTTGAAAAACCAAACTAGTGCCTTTCGTAGTGTTGTACAATGCCATTTGGTATTTAGTTTTTAAATTAATTGAATCTGCAGCAACTTTTCATCATGAGGGACATGGCTATACTATATATATTTATAATTATAAACAATATATAATAAAATATTAAACTTCCCCTTAAAATACATATTTTAAATAAATCTGGTCACTCTGATTTACTCAAAGAACTTGACTTAAATACACTCTGGACTTACTCTAAATGCCATTAGATTAGGAAACACACACACACGAAGGTGACCAAACCAGAAAGTTCGAGAGCACATTTTATATATGTAATTATATGGATATTTTTGCTCTGCCACTTGAGCTTCAAGTTGCTGAAATGTTTTTGGCAAATTTGGGGAATTTCATTTGCCGAAAGTCAGGCTCTACCCTCTCTCATGTGCGTGCACCTGCACCCTCAGTGATGAAAGTACTTAGCATTTTGTATTTAATTTTCATTTTTGCATTTGAACTTTTTACTCTGGCCACACGAAAACACAGAGGGAAAGGGTTTCGGTTGGGGCTTCTAAGCACGTTTCTCTTAGGGTTATACATACATACAATATGCATATATGAATATATACTTATTTCATGTTCTCAAAAAAAAAAAAAAAAAAAAATAGTTAAAGAAAAAGAAGCATTTTTACATTTTTCCTTTACAAAATAAATATTTGAAAATTTGATTAGTAAAATAAACTAAATATTATTAAATTTAATTTAATTTAATTGAATTTTTGGCCTATACTTTTTTGTGCCTGACTGTAACCTTGGCAGACCTGGGGAAACAGTTGATGTGTCATAAAAACTATGTATTCTCCGCAAGGAGACAAAGGAGGAGTCAAAGTAATCAGGGACACCACCCACCCGAGAGTAAGGGTTAAGGCCCAAACGACAGTTCCGGACAAATTACTCGAAATGGTGGCTAAAAGTTTTTACTGCCGAGCATGTCCGGGGCATATACATATGTATGCAAAACATTTGAAAATGTTAATTAAATTTCTCCATGCATTCCGTCTTCTAATTGGCATCGAGTTGCGTTTGGAAAAACACGAATTTTCCCCTACCTCTCCTCCTACAATTAATTAATGCGAAAATTTTGTGGCTACTGGGTTAGCTGCTTTCATTTTCAAAATTTATGGCAATTGTTTTTGGGATATATCTAGTATATATTTGCTAAACTATGTACTGTGCATGTAAGGTACTACTACTACTATGGCTTATTATTTAAATTTTGGCTGCTGGCATTGTTATTATTATTATTATTATTATTGGGCATAAATTAAATGCAATTTATGTGAAAAGTTGCATAGAAGAAAGTGGGCACCAAAATAAATCAAGTATTGTGCTCTAATTTATGCTAGTTTTTAACATTTTTTTAAACTATATAATTTCACTAAGAAGTTACGTTTTACGTACACAAAAAAGTGTCTATAATACTCTATTATTTATTACATTTTTGTGAAATTAAATTATTTCTTTAATTGGAAGTTTCGCTGACTTCAAGTTGAGCAAGTCATTAGCTGGCCTTTGACTCTGCCTTTACCTGTAAATATGTTCTTATATATATTTTTCCTATTCTTTTCTTTTTTTTCGCCATAAGAAATCCCCTTTGGTCAAAGGCTTTTATTAGTTTTTCGTTTATTCGCTAGCTGCTTTAACTTTTCCGGTCGCCCGGCCTTCCTTCCTTGTGTAATTTCTTTATATTTGTGGCATTTATTATCAGGAGACGGCAGTGGGAGACCCAAGTCCAAGTCGGAGTCCAAGTCGGAGTCCTTGTTGTTTGCCTTTCCGTTGCCTCCTTGTTGGTTTTGCTAATTTTTATTTATGTTCTTAAATGCTCCTTGCCGTGCCAACGGGCCACGCATTTTTATTAATTTTATTTAAGCGTGATTATTGTGATTAGTTTGCTGGCAGCCTGCTTTTGCTTTCTGGCTTCTCATTTTGGGGCCTTTTTATTTATTTGTACGACGACTTTGTCGAAGTAATTTTCATAAATATTTTCCTTTTTTCCCGGCAGTAGAGTCGCAACTTTTTGTTAGCCAGTGACGGTTGCCTTGGCTTAATTAAGACTAAGCCGTTTCAGGGTATCGAATTCCCTGGCTTAATAAATTAAATTAGCAAAAAACTAAAGAGCTTTGATCTGGAATTATTATAAATATTTTTACTTACAAGAATTTTTCTTGGAAATCAATTTAGCAAGTATTTTTTTGAGCAGGACCTTGCTTTGTGAAAAGTAAATTGCCTCAATTTCCACCTTTCAACATGTCTACCATGTGTCCAGGACCTCCGATCCTTAGCCCGCTTCTTCGGCTCCTCGGTGCGTGTGTACTAGTGTGTGAGTGAGTGTGTGGGGTGTGTGTGTGTGTGTGTTTGTGTGGGGTGTATGGCGGTGTGCGTGCTGAGTAGGCTCTTGAGCCGCACAACACTTCCGGTTGCCACTTGTGAGCGAAAAGCTTTTCAGCCTTTGAGTGTTTTTTTGTGGCAGGAACAAGCAGACATTCCAGACATCCCTCCCACGTTTTTCCTTCCCCCTCGACGACAGCCAAGCCCATTCAGCATTTTCCATGTGTGTTTGTTGTCGCGCAAAAACAAAAACAAACGGAAAAGCCAGGAGGGAGTTTTCCGAATAGAAATTATCCTTTATTAATTTGTGATATTTTTGGAATTTTTTTAGGGGTTTTAAACAATATTTATAGAGAAAATTTAAAAAGTCTTTGAGACTAAATTGTTAAATTAATTTTTTTAAGGTTTTTGTTTTATAGTTAATTTTTGTTACCAAGAAAAATACTTTAAATTCATAAAAAGAAAGTTATAACCTTTTTTTCAGAGTTTTGAATTCTGTTTAATAACGAATATTTAATGAATAAATTTTAATTTTTAAAAATTATACTGTTTTTTAATCTTTTTGTTTATAGTTAATTTTTGTTACTCATTAAAAAACCAAAAAAAAAATACATACAATTAATGAAATTAATCATTTAAAGTCCTAACATTTTTTTTTTCAAAATTTTGTATATTGTTTAATAACAAAATAACAAATATACTCTTTAATTTCAAGGGTATCAACCGGCGAGTTGCATTGCAGTTAAGCACCGTGAGGGCCCAAATGCAAGAATGTTTCTGTCTTCCGACTTCAACTCCAGATTCTGGACCTGATCCTGCGAATCCTAATGGAAACCACAGAGTGTGGGTGTGTGTGCAAATGTATGTGTGTGTTTGTGTGTCCTTTTGGGGCAGGACACATCCATTAGAGGCATATTTACTTAGTAATTTGCCCCTTTGGCTTAACTGTTTTTAAACCTTTTATAAAGCTAGCAGAGTTTTTTTTGTTTTCTAAATACTTTATGAATAGTTTTCTAAAATTTTCAACGGTTTATATAAATTTATAATAAAGAAAGAAAACCTTTTCCTTTATTCCTGACCCCCCCTTTCGGCCAGTTCTTAAGCGTTTTTATGGCCAATTTGACGAATGCCCAGCCCTTAAATGGGTTAAGCCCCCGGTGTAGGCTTCTCGCATCGTCTGGCTTTGTCCCTCTGCCAATTTTTTGCCTAATTTATTCGCTTGTATCGCTCGTAAATAAAACAAAATTGGCTCAAACGAGAAACTGGAACTGGAAGTTTAGCCGACTTATTGAATTTCCCTAAACGGGATACAAAAACAAAACAAAAAAAATAAAAATAAAAGAATGCCTCGGTGGCCGCCAATAAAAACATAAGAGCAGCGCATAATCATCATGGCCAAAACTGATGATGATGGCGAATGGGCGGTGCCTGGGAAACGCCTTAATGCCCCATCTAATGGTGCAAATAAATTTCAACTAAGGAATTTTTATAGAGAGAGTCATAAAACCAAATGGCTGCCAATGTTTTGCTTTTCTCCACCCCCACGCACACACAGTTTTCGTCGTAGTACCGTTAATAGCCTTAATTGAGCGTCTGCCACGCCCACTTATTTGTTTATTAGAGTCCACCCCCTACCCCCCCACCCATATAAACCCAGGGAAAGGCAGGAAAACGTGAGTAAAGGTCGGGGTAACATTTTGGGGAAAAAACATCAAGGTGGAATTTTCATTTGTCGTTGACAATAAAAGAGATAGATGCACTGAGGAAAAATAAAAGGAAAGTCTAGGGCTGGAGTAGAAACAGTGCTCGAGGGAAATTCAGAGGTTCCTTTAGCACAAATCTTTTGAAATTTTCATCTTTGAAATCTATAATTTATTCATTACTAAAGTCTTCATATTGCACTTTAAATCACTAAAAAAAAAAATACCATTATATTCATTTCACTTACCTTAATTCCATCATTTTCTTTCAACATTTTCCGCACTGCAGATAAGTCAGATATAGGGATGTGAAGCTTTTCCTTACTTCACTTTTCTTACACATTTTCCGGCATTCAGAAATTCCTGCAGCTGCTGTCAGTTGAAGCATTTTGCACCTGGAATTCGCGGGAATACACGTATTTCTTTTTTTTTTTTTTGAAAGGGCTCTTGCCACGCCCACTCAGCCATTATGGGCGCCATAATTATGTGTGTGTGTGTGTGTGTGTGTGTGTGTGTGTGTGGGTGTGTGTTAAATCTTCAGCTGCGGGTCAAGTTTAAAGATTCAATTTCCGAGGCAGCGGGAAAAAATCCATTAAAATTGTTAAATGCAGCGTTGGCAGTTTTCCACAACCTTCGTCCTTTTTCGTCCCGCGGCTGCTGCTTCTTCTTCATCGTTTCCTTTGCACTAATTTGCGTGTGTGTGTATGTTTGGTAGAGATGACACAACTATCCTAAATGTTTGAAATTTAAATTGATACCATTTTTGTAGTTATCGATAATTTATTGTAAATTATTATAAATATTTAACGATTTTTTATTTATAAATTAATCTATAAATTTAATAAATAATTGTTTGTAATTTTCGAATTAAATTGTTTAGTAA